AATTCAAAAGCGGTGCAGGATGATAATGGCAAATTAGAGGTGAGACTTTGCATAGCTTGTGTGCAAGATTAGTTGATTCATTCTAGCCAGGAGCCAGTTGTAAGGGCCTCTTTATCCATATAAATGATGTCAATAACGTGACACTTCTGTTTAAAGCTAGAGTACAGGCTGAAGATGAGTGACAGCCAGTTTAGTTGTCTCAGGATGATGGAGTAATGATTACAGTTCACTTATGTCAGCATTATCACTGACTGCCATTAGGGTTATCACTCAGAGCTGGCGGCTGGGGAAATTGAGGGGAAAAAAAGAGAAAATGGCAGCAGGTGGTAGCTTCACACAAACTGGAGTTTTGTTCACAAGGTTTAAAAAACTGAATTTTAATTTCACTATCAACTCCTACAGGTTTTAGTAACTCAACTTGTTGATGAACAACTATTTTTTTAACACTTTACCCCAACCTTGACCTATGGCCAATTCAGAAGTTTCTTTTATTGTTTACCCTACAGCATTTCATCCTAAAAAAATCAATAGTGTAGCAAGTTCATAGTCAAACTCAACAGCTTCGAAGCATTGGCTGTTAAATGAACATTTAAGTTCAACACACACAGGTGACCCCACCTCTGCTAAACCACCACCAGCAGAGAAGCCAAATCCAGCCAAGACCTTCTGCTGGTCCAGAACTTCCTCACCCTGAACGTTTTCTGTTGCAAGGCATGTCCTCTGCAGTTTATCCTTTTGTAGCCAAAACACTGATGAATGCACTTGAGAAGCAGAGGGAGAGAAAACAACTATGCTGATTGCATGCCACATTTCAGTGGTTACATTTATGAATTTCTGCACAGTTTATCTTCCTTTCTCTCATCTGTCTGCACATGAGAGAAACACTTTTATTCACAGGAGCAGAGATTTTGTCTTTCTATACTGCTCGTTTTACTGCTGTTTGGTACTTCACTAAGGACATGGAACACGTAGTGAATTGAAGCTCTCAATTCAATTTTATTTTATTTGTATATCAACAAATCACAACAAAATTCGTCTCAGGACACTTTACAAAGTAAGGTTTAGACCTTACTGTTATAATTATAGAGGATAAAACCCAACAAATCCCCCTTGAGCAGCACTTGGCGACAGCAGGGAGGAAAAACTCCCTTTAACGGAAGAAACCTCCGACAGACCCCGGCTCTTGGTGGGCGGCCTTCTGCCTCAACCGGTTGGGGTGAGTTGATAGAGGAGAGAAAACAAAAGCAACAAGACACAGCAAAAAAAAAACAATCAAACACTGGCACTGTGTAATTGTGTGCATGAGTCCCATTGCCCTGCAACTCTGTCCAAAAACTGACAAGAGGAATCTGTTTCTGTTAGATTCCCAGTAGAAGATAAATCTCAGTTAATGGCTGCTCTGAAGTGCTGCTGATGAAAGGTTTTAATTGAGCATACAGGTCCCGACTCTGCACTACCCTGTACCTGCATTATCCCTGGCCCCAGAGGTGACAGCATTAAGTATCTCTATCTGTTTTCACCCTCTCACTGGTTTCATTTTCCGGCTGCTCTTCAGTGCTGCTGCTGCTGCTGCTGCAGGCGAGATCACTCACACTCCTTCAGGGCTTCATTTAGCTAACTTACAGCCTAAGCCACGCAAATCCATCCAGCTGGTGGTGAACAGCAACACAGGCAGCTGTCAACTACAAACTGGACTCCATCCTGTTGAATCCCAGAGCAGCAGCAGCGCCGATAGAAAGGGACTGTCACAGATAAATCGACCGGGGGGCACTGTGTCACTAAAAGCTGTCTTCTTCTGTATTCTCTCCATGGCAAAAGATAGAGGAGGAGGGAGGACGAAAAGTGGAGAGAGGAAGAGAAGATCGGGATATTTTTGCACAAGAGAAATGAGAAAAGTTCTCTGTCAAAATACCACAAAGAAAAGTAGGTGAACTAGCTGATTTGCACATTCATCTCTTTACAGCACCACACATCTCCTGTCTCCCTCTGATGCCTCTGTTAAATCCAGAGGTCAAACTATGACTTAAAGGCTGTTTCAGGATGATGACATGACACTGAAGTCAGTGAGACAGAGACATCAGTCAGGATACAAAGTTTTGGCTTTGGGGTAAGAACACACACGCACGTCCTCAGAGGTTCAGCCCTCGAGTGATACTTTATACTTCACTGTCTCTGAGCCAGAGCCTCATCCTTACTGGCATACAGACACATTCTCACACACATGCTAACACTTTTACTTTTTCACACTAGCCTTCCCTCACATCCAGTTTGTGTCCTCTGGGGCAAAGGAGTTTCTATACACCACCCTTAACTACCCCTGGATGAGCCTCTCAGGCTGTGGACAGCACTGACAAAGAGCCGGGAGTCACGGCAGGCCTGCTGGCTGGCAAAGCCACCTCATCACCAGCAGACTCACACAGCTGAAACTCTAGTTACTGTATCATCTAAAAGCCCTTCTCCTGTACCTACAACACTGCACCGTTGCCTGCACTGCTGTCGTAACCACAGGATCATTTAACCTCACAGGAGACTCCAGAAACTGATTAAAATGCACATACTGTTCATACAAATGAGTGTAAATTCTAAAACTAGTAAGAAAAGGCAAGAGCGAGGTACACTACAGATTTTGTTTTTGTCTATTGGTCTAGTTTTGGTAAAACAATATATGTAAGGACTACACTTCATACCTGTTAAGTTTTTAAAGAATTTACATGTGTTTCTGTGAGGAAATCTGGATTTGGAGAAATGAATTGGTCCTCTTTGATTTCCAGGAAGAGTATCCCAGCCCAGCCATCCAGCTTAACATCCAGCTGTTCCCATGGGGCAGTCAGTAGAAATTTGTAAATGTACTGATATAGATGTTTCCACCAGGGCACTACTAAAAAACAATGCACACTTTCATCAAACCTTTCCATTGTCAATAACATAATAAATAAAGAAAATCCCACTTAAGATGCTCCTCAGTCCCTAGGGATGTGCGAGGGGCTCTTCTGCAGCTCAGTTTCCACTGAAATGTATTTGGACATAAACCTGTTCAGACAGATCATTTGTGATGATGAGAAAGTGAGTTTGTGTGAAATGTAACAATATGCAGTCCATTTCAATCTTGATGACAAATGAATATTTATTTGTGTTTCTAGGAAGAGATGTGAGTGCAGCAGTGAGAGGACGGATACTACCCAAACATTGTCAGTGTTCTTCTGCTTTGTTTGTATTTGGCAGAGTGAAACATTTATCAGTGATCAACTGCTACTCTGACTGTTTGGTGTCTCACACACACAGCAACACACAGGTAGGCATATCAAATGACTGAACACATCAGTTCTGTCACACACTTAATGACAAACACAGCTCTCACTCTGACACACACACACACAGGTAGACACATGCCCACCGTTATCAGACACTGTGTTACGGCTACTGTGCAGAGAGACACTGAGGAATCATTTGATAGAGTTTCAGACAATGTGCAGTTGTCTGCTTCTCCATTCTTTTTCCATTACCAGGCAATATGCTTGCTCAACCTTGGCAGCAGCCAACAGCTTTTCTTTGGCAGACCGGCATTTGAGAGCAGGATTGCCTATCTCCTCTCTTTGCTCTGGCTTCCTGGAACAGCTTGATTGATATGGCTCTGTGTGTGTGAGCCTGTGTGTGTCTGCGCACATGTGCAACAGCAGAAGAGAGAATTGTTTGGTTCATCTGCCAAAAAGATTTTGTTTTCAGTCCTGTTTGCTTGTTTGCCCGTTAGTCTGGAGGATATCTCAGAAACTATTCAACACTGTGTCATTTTTCCATGACTTTTGGAAAGCAGCTCTGCCCATTGACCGTATATAAATATGGACGGCGCGTCACCACTTCCCTCTACTATGCAAAAGTGACGCCAAAATATTGTGAATACAGCAGCCATCTTGGCATTTTGCAACTTTAAGTATTCATCAGACCTTTGTTTACCAAGGTGTCTGAATCACTGCAGGTACTGAGCATGTTAACCACGCACTTCACCTTTCTGTGAAGTTTCACTTTTTTGTAAGAATGAATGCTGCTGTAACTGCACAAGTGTGTACCTTTCTTCTTAAATATTTATATAACACAATCAAAATATATATGAATTAATTACATTTTATTTTCAAGGCCATTTAGAAAGATAAAACATAATTTTTGCATGATGAAGTCAGGTCCTTTGAGCCCATTGCCCAGTAAGTGGTTTCAGTCCTGGACATGTTGTTGGTGTCCCATTTGGAACAAAGCCACCACAGCTCCAGTAATGGCAGAATGTGTTAATTGCTTAGGGAGACTTCAGCAGCAGCCTTGATGTTCCTTTGCTTGAGTGCAACATGCTTTTAGTTAACAACTTTACATCAAACTGCTCTCTTTTAGCTTTACACAGGGTTCTCTGGGAAGATTTAATCATGTTCCCCTGCTCTGGGATCTCCCTCCATATGCTACGTGTTAGTGAGGGCACTGTTCCACTGATTCTACTGCAGAGTATAAGATACGGTTTTGTTTAACTGCTGAATACAAATAGATTCTGTAGATGGTAGTAAAAAGTGTTTGTTTTTAAGTTGTACATGCAGTTTGATGGTTAATTTCATTGCATGGACATTAACAATGTCTTGCCTGACATTGTGGTTGGCTTCAGTAGCTTTTACTGTACAGTACTGATCTTTTCAGACATCTAATTGAATCACCCAGTGACCACTTGTCTGCTAAGAGTGAGGTTGTGGTCAGCTATAGATGTATAGATTACTAAAGTTAATCCACTGGAACATAATTTTTCAAAATGTGAGGTGCGCCTCCCGCGGGGAGCGCCAAAGGACTTAAGGGGAGGTGTGTTATGAGAAAAGGCAAACCAGAAGAAATAATAGTAAGCCTCAAACTTCAGCTAGGCTATGTGTGAGGCAAAATGGATTGATTCACCTACAGTGAGAGTAATTTAAATTGTAATTTAAACAATGATTTCTGTATGTTAAATATACAACCAGGAGACTGTTAGCTTAGCTTAGCACAAAGATGTGAAGACAGGCTCTGAGCAAAGGTGATTTGGTTTAGGATATTTTAGAATTTTCTTGAGGTCTCCACAAAGTATCTCATGCAGTGTGGTTGGATTGTTTTTAAGCATTATGCTGAAGGCCTCATGCTGACAGCTTATTGCATACCGTACAAGCACATGTTGTATTGGAAAAGCATTAAAATGTGGCAGATAAGTTGCATAGAGGATGAATATAGGGAGAGCTGAGTACAGACACAGCATTCTTTTAACCTGCACGGCCATCAGAGGCTGTATGATGCTGCAGATGAGTCTTAACAACACTCATAAATTATTCAGAGGACATGATCCACACACTGACCTTTTCCTTTCCCTCATTCTCACCTCTCTCTCCCTCTGTTTCTCCTAATCACACATTCACTCTGCCTTGCTCACTCATTAATTTTCTAGTTTTATCACGCTGTCTCAGTCTCTCTCACACACTGACTTGTCTCACTTTTGTTCTCTCACTTCCTCTCTCTTGAACTCATCTCCACCTCTTTGCTCCAGCACCCACACCCTTTACTTCCTCTAGACTTTCATATCCTTCCCTTCTGTTTTCCACTTCTTTCTTTTTTGCCTCATTTCAGTCCGTCACTGTTAGCCACAGCACAGCTACTCAGCTACGGTGGTGACCCTAACAACTTTTTGTCTCAGAGAGACCTCAGAAGAGTAAAAGGCTGAAGCTGCCCTCCTGATCTCTCCCTCTTTCTCTTTCTCTCTGGGGCCAGTTTATCTCCTCACCACAGCTGTGTGGCAGGCTACTGGAGACAGGGTGTGGAATGATTCTCATCACCAAGGCTGCAAAACCAGAGCATACGCTGCAGCTTCAGTTACATCTTTAACAACAGAATTACAAGTGTTCAGTGCATGAATGAACAAATCTAACACAAAGTGCTAAAGCTGAAGTGAAGGTGCTAAATCATTAGTATTATTGGCCAAATTGTTAGTTTTAGCATTGGTGCTCCCCTCACCAGTGACTTATATTAGCTTTTGTGGTGCTTTCCAGACTGATGTAGAGTACATTACCTCCTAGTTAAAAATTTACTGAAATAGCATCACAGTTTATACCGCAAGGCCACAGTGTTGGTGTGAAAAGTGATGCAAATGCTTGCTGATGTGCATTTGAACAGTTGTATAATGAAGAATAATCTAGTGTTTCTTTACAGAGGCCTATGTCACAACTTTTTGACAGGATGAAATCTTACAAAAGATGATGATGTGGTATGCGAATTCAAACAGCGTCTTGAGCAAAGATTTGTGGTTTATGAATCAGGTTGAGGAAAAAAGTGCTGGTGTTTTTAGTGAGTTGTCAGATCAGTCAGAGGGTGAGCTGTCACACTCACTCATTGTATGTAGTTTGCGTACTAGTTAACGGTCAGTGTTTATTCATTCAGTGCATTAGCTGTTGGGGCGAATAGTCATGGACTGCACAGTAGTCCAGTCACTAAATAAGCAAAATATTCACTTCATGCCACACTCCTTCACTGGGATTGTTTAAAGTGTTTCTACATAGAGTTCAGTTACTTAAGTTCAGGCACATTTACAACCACAAATATCAATGTTCAGTCATTAAGTCAAACAGCAAATCCACATTGTTGCTACAGTAATTGTGTAGTCTGCTCCTGTCAGTCTTTATCTAATAGACTATCACTCATGCATGCACACACACAGGCATGCTCCTGTGCATGCATATACCCTGGACCGGATGTGTGTATCTAAATGTGCATAATCAGATGTACCCATGTACTTTCTGTCTGGCTCACCCAGGCAGGATTGACAACATCTGTTCATATGTGTAAGAGAAAAAAAATGTGTTCACCTGCTCATTTTCCAGTTGTGCATTGTTTGTGTGTGCTTGTGTGAAAGTGCAGCAGGTTGAAAGACAGATTTAGAGATGTAGAGAATGAGGGATAAAGAGAAAAGGGTAAGAAGCAAAAATGATTTGTGTGCAGGGTTGAGGTTGATAATAATTGTGCTCTTATCTGTGCCCCACAGCGTTGCCATCCTCAAAAAGAGCAGCACACGAGGCAGCCAGCTGCTCCGGCGTCCCTGTGATGGAGCGAAATTTACGACCGCCGTCACTGGGATTGTGTTTCTACAGGTCCGAGCACTCTGTTGTTCACCCGCTTCAATCCATGGATTGTCAACACTAGGCTCCATTGCCCTGATACACACAAACATAAACACTTGATCCTAAGAGCCATCAGCAGCTCCTCCTGTCTGTAGGGTTTTTGAAAAAAATAATTGTTGGTTTTCAAAAGCAGTTGGTTGAAGCACAACAGACAGAGACACCCAAAACACTAAAACATAATATATACACATTGTGTTACAGACTGATATAATTAAAAGTAATCAACCCATAGCAGGGAATAATCACATAAATGATGAATATTAATCATCTGGTTTATTGACGATATTACGTTTTGATGGCCAGAACAATCAAAATACTATTATACATATTGTGACAGGTGGAGAGAAGTTGCATTATTTACTCACAAACCATGTTCAGGCAAAGCTGTGGCAGATGGTGCACTTGTGACACAGTATAGTTAACAACAAAAATTATAAGTTAACATGAAAAATATTTAGATTTATAATCTAGTTGTAGTGGGTATGTTTTCCTGTCGCCAGGGATTAAAAGCCACCTGGGGTGATAGTGAGTCTTCTTGTATGATGAATGTTCTACTGCTACAGTTTTTCGTCAGCAGGGTGTCTGAAATACACACAGACACTTTTTAAACAAAAAAGAGACATCTGAGAGGAGCAGTTCAGTTTCTGGAAACCACTGGCAAAAGTAGCTTTCCACAGTGTTTTGGTTGGTATTTACTTAAACGCATAAAAGAAAAACTCGCTCAAGCATTTATTAACTTCTTTGCTGAAGTATGTTCAAAGAAATATAGTGTTACCACAGTCACCAAAATCTTGTGAAAGCTTTTTTTTTCTTTTTTTATATTTTTGTGGTAGTTTTTAGGGGAGATTACCATGTGGAACATGGCCTGGACGACCTGGGAGCTGTTGTTCGGCTGCAGGTTCAAACACCCACAGACAGGGCGAAAAAAAACAGACATTATTAACAACAAACCTGTCGACAAGATTTACGGCCCACTGCTTGTTGTTGTTGTTTGGAGTTAAGGTTGAAACTTGTGGACTGTGACCTGTGTGCACTTTAGACACAGAGTTATTTCTCTATTAAAAATTGGACCAATCAGAGCTTAGTCAGTGGCATTAAGAATGGTGACGTACTGTAGTTAGCTGCCTAGCTAGGTTTATGAAAATGAACGACAAAAAAATGACAGCAAGTGTGGATGAGATTGACAGCTCAGTTTATAGAAATAACCCCTATATAGACAGATTTCTTTAATCAGTGTGAAACAGATGTTAAGGTAACTGCTCCTGCACAATGTCTGGCTGAACGAATGAAGTGAAACAAAATGGCAGTAATATCTAATTTTCAGGCTGAGAGTGTGTACTGCCTAGTATTACATGTCAGTATTCTGACTGTAGTAGACTTGCTTCATATGAATCCTGATGTTAAACTTCACTCTAACTCTCCCTCTTTCTGGCTTTCCTTTTCTTCTCGCTGTGTGTCTGTCGGTGCCTTCAGACTGCCCACAAAAGATCCTGTTTGTTGTCCCCTATTTGTTGTGAGACATCTTTGTTTAAAAGTGGTGTTTTCATCAAGGCTGTACAAAAGACTCCTTTACAATGTGGTCAGTGGAAAAAAGATGGAGATTTAAAGGGGAAAGTAAGGGAATGTGTAAAGAAGAAACAGACAGAGGTGAAAAAAGGGGTGCAGGAAAAAGTGAGAGGAAAGAAGAGAGGGAAAACAAAGCTAGCAGTGGAATTGGAGACCTGTGGCGCTCAGTGGAGAAATGCTTTCTATTATCTTTGGTGTCAGTCTGAACAAAGGGGCAAAGAGAACAGGCTGGCTCCGGACCCCAGGGTGATTTAAAACACAGCTGGATTCAGAGTCTGCAGATCAGTGACCACACAGAAGAAACGGGGACTGGGACATGCTTTTCCTTTTTTAATTTACATAGGCAGTAGTTTCTGTATTTTGATTTCTCTTCTGAGGTCGCATCCAAGCAAGTCTGATGGATCTACCAGGACCATGGTGGATTCCCCTTTTTGAGCAAGTTTGCAGAATATTTCTGTCTCTTGACAAATAATAACAGAACTCCATCCTTTTAATCTACAGTTCAGTGGTCGAATATTGCAAAACCACCTTGAATTTAGCTGTTGATAGGTGTGTGCGCGCAGGTGTTGTGTGTTCTCTATACAGCACAGATTTTGATTGTGAAAGAGTCACTAGCTTAATTCATTGTGTGTTTGAATTATGACACTGTACATTAAGTGGACTGACTGTCTCATGTTCCACCCTCTGTAAAGTTACCTTAATTTATCAGTCATTAAGATGTATGGAACACCATTACTGATACACAAATGAAATGTAGTATAGTTTTATACATGAGAAAATTCAAATGGCACAGGTGGTGCCAAAATGTGCCATTTTAGCACCTCGCCTGGACTTCATGTACTAAAACCTCTATAATTTTGTCCTGCTTGACTATTTTAGAATAATATTTGGTCCTGGTGATGATCACATGTTGTACTTTGGATTCATAGAGGTTTAGAGCTGAAGCTGGATCAATACAAGGGAATACTCAGAATGAATATGCTTTTTTTTTTTTAGGCGGACCTGAAAAATCTAATTTGTGCTGTGTGCCATCTTCATTTACTCTTCAACAACAAAACATAGAATGATATTTACACCTCCTGACAAATCTCACAGGTGTCCCCTTTCTTTTGACACCAAGAGTAATCAAATACACCTTGTGGTTGCGGAGACATACACATTTCATTTTGGGTATGTGTTTTTTGAGGAAAATCCCCAAAACAGGCTTAGGGTTTAAAGAGTTAAGAAAATTATACTTCCACTCATATAAACAAACAGAGTAAAGTTTCCTCTCTAGCAATCAACAGAGGAAATCTTTCAAATGTCCTCAAGTGAGTTTGCCTTTCCCAGATCTTTGAACCAGCCTGTCCAATCAATGATGGGAGTCTTAATACACCACAATGGTCTATGGATTAGTGAAGGTATTTAAACATTGGCTTTAATTAGAGCTGCTCCTTTTAAAGTGTGGAGGTGTGACTGCAGATAGGGAAAAAGGTGAAAGGAAGTATTGTGGTAATGAATCAAAGTTACTTTGTGAAGGTCTGATCATTCAGTAGGCTGGAAGAACAGGACACGCTGCTCTTTGCCCCCTCACCCCTGAAATATATACTTGCCTTGGTGCCCCAGAAATTAATGAACCAGGTCATTCAAAGCCATCTTTTGATCTCCGTGAAAGCCTTCAGTCATAATTGTGTGATTAGAGAACAAGGATAATCAGGATAATCACCTTTATTGGCCAAGTATGTTACACACAAGGAATTTGCTTCCAGTACAGAACCGAGGCAGCCATCTGCGGCGCCAACTCAACCAATGGCTCTAACCATCGGGGGCAACTGGGGGGTTCAGTGTCTTGCCCAAGGACACTTCGACATGTAGACTACATGTGGAGGCACCAAGATTCAAACCTTCAACCTTCTGGTTGGGAGACGACTGCTCTACCCACTGCACCACTATCACCTTCCCCACAAGACTGTCCTCACACAAAAAAAAGACAGCATTGGCCATTTTCCTGACAAGTGAATGATCTCCTATGGTCATGCAAGTAATGACTGTCCTTTTGCAGCAATGCTAAAAGTAGCGCCATGTTGATATCTTTCTGCAAAATCTCTTAGCAAGCTGGTCAGGATGGATGTTTGCTGACTGACCCCACAGACCCCTTGAAAGCATGACCTTAATCTTTCCCTGAACTTAAACATACTTTAACCATAGAGGTGGTAGACAAGAGCTTTGATAACCTAGAATAGTTACTTTAACCCTATGTGTCTGAACCCATACGTACACTAGTTTCTAAGTTTCTGTCCGAACCCTCGGGTACCTAGAGGCCCCATCAGGCTCAGTTCAGGTATCCACCCTTCATTGCCATTTGTCCAAACACGGCACACTAAGATGTAATGTATATTCAGGCTAAGTGAAACAAAGATAATATTCTTGTTTTTCTCACATGGCTATGAGAGCAATGATTTGTGCAGCATCAGATGTTCAGTCTTTATAGCTGTTGAATAGAGGAGAAATTCCTCTAGCTTTCTTTGCCTGTTGTGGTCACTGACTCTGACTTAGATGCCTTGCCTAAACATGGCAGTGAGCTCTTCCCTTCCAAGTACCACAGGGCCACAGGCAGGTACACCCCAACGGCAGCGTATCGATCTCATCGTCAGCCCAGCCCTTCCCCTGCTGGCCTGTCTGGCTTCATTTAAATGAAGCATCTACATTTAATCTTAATTAGATATTGAAGTCTCTTAATTAAAACATTATCTCTGGCGAAACACAGCTGGCCAGTCTGACGAGTTAATCGATGAGGATGAGAGAATGCTGTCTGCTGAAAGACATCAGGAGAAGGCACCAGAACGCAAACTCCAGGCTAAAGTGTGTCAGGTTAAAATGTTTAAGAGGATTTAGGTCATGTGCTGTTTTTTTAAATTTATCAATTTTTTTTATTCAGCACTATTAATAATCTTTAAAGCCTCTTATTGTTTCATCACTGTTTCATCTCTGGGGTAGGAGTCTGAGTCACGCCAGGTTTTTGATTTACAGTCGAGATCAAGTGTCAAGTCTGTAATGTTTGCAACTTAACATGTATATTCAAAGAGTATTTTCTTCTTTTGGATTTTATCCAGAGTAATATAATATTGGAGTATCAAAATCAGAGTACTAATCGAGACTAATAATGGTTTTAAATAGGTTAATACTGTGTTCCCCTGGGCTAGCACAGACCAGCATTTCCTTTGTTACTATATGTGAACTAACCTGGCTTTCGGGGGATCTCACTTTCTTTTGCAGTCTTTTGTGGTCAGAGTAAATGACAGATACAACATTTATTAAAGCATGTGATTTAGCTTTTTTTTAATCATTAGCTCTATTGATAAGCATATGAATAATAAGAATAGAACGACAGATGAAAAATAACTGGCGGTTTGAGTACTTCAGCACCACCGACGTATGGAGAGCAGTGAGATGGGGGAGACCCTTTTACTACTGTATGTGCACTCTCCTGTGTGAATATATACACCTTTGTATTCCTGAGTGTTATGGTTCATACATTAATTACCTTTTTTTTCCTGTTTTATAAATGTGAGAAGGAAAACCAAGTCCCTTGCATGTGCCCGACATTTATTCTGGCTTTAACTAACATGAATCATGCACGACTCTGAATCGAGTCTGGAGTCAGTTAGGGATGAGTTGTGTGAGTCAGAAGTCTACTCATGTGGAACTCGAGAACAACTGGAGTCGCCAACTGTTGTAGTCACTGTGTTGAATTCA